GTCGTACGACGAAAATCGGATGCAGTGTGAATCCAGCATATGATACGATCAATGTAGATTGGCAATTTTTTAGAATTTAGAAATTCTTTTCAAAAATGCCATCCCTCTAAACTTACCGCCTTCATATAGATTAGCCTAAGTGCTAATACGTCATAGTCGATCCAGTTAAATAAATCATTGCGATTTATTAAATTTTTCTATTGTTATCAAAAAGATGATAAATCAGATTAAATAGAAAATAAGTATTTTAGAATTACTTAATACAATATCGACGTAAAAATGTTGCGATCTATTCGCTATCGTTATATATTATAGATACTTGCCTTTTTATTAAATTGGGTGCATTCAGTACTACAACTGCTCACTGAGCTCTCAGTGAGCGCTTGCATCTTATTGGCATATTCCGTTAGAACTAAAAATATAGACCAAACAGATATAAGAGCTCACTGAGCGCTCAGTGAGCAGTTGTGGTACTAAATGCGCCAATTGACAAAATCGGAGCAACTGTCGCTCGTTGCGAATGCGCCTGTAAACAGCCCGTAATTACGTAGTTATATCGCAAACAAGAAACGGCGGACTAGAACCATTTCTGCTCAGTCTGTGCTATGTAAATGATGTCGCAGTAACTTACGAGAAACGAGTTTCTTATTGTTTTTATTAATATTACGATTCTGAGTGAGAACACATTTCTCAAGAATGGCGCAGTATCTGAAAAAAGGTGCGTACAACCTATACTGATGTTTATCAAGTACGATCACGTGTCGCTCGAGAATCGAGAAATCGTTCGGCACGTTAAAGGTGTCCGAAGGGTGGTGGTGGAGGTGGCGATCATGTGCGCCGCCATTTTATTCAATTCCGTCGTTCCGGCCGTGCGACTGACTACGACGGAACGGTAGAATGAAATGTTATAATGGCGAGTGCGTCTATTCCGCATATTTGATGTCGCGATAAAGTTGGGCGTACGCGTCCGCCTTATCGGTTATCCTGCCAAGATTTCAACTCTCGCGGGCGTTCTCGTCAGGCCGTCGTGCCGCCGGCTCGGCCTACGAATAAGTTGCTCCGTTATTGAAGGTCGCAACGTGCCGACGCGTTACGTATGTGAATCATACTCCGAGTTATGGAGAGGTGCGACTCGAGTAACACGCGATAATCGCGTTACTCACATCAATTCCGCGACACGCTACATTCCGGACACACGTGTTACGACACCCGCGCTCGTCTCGGCGATACGGACATACATTTTTTACGCAATTTCGCCATTGTCGCGTAAATCCTCGCGTGCGTATATACCTTTGCACATATCTGCGCGTGCTGATTTCTTCATATAATATGATATCGAAGCGAGCATGAAGGTAACCGTGTGCTTCGACAACGTCAGGGTGGTGGTCCCATGCGGAGATGGAAGTCTACTGGTCAAGGATCTAATGCATGAGGCCATCCTGAGATACAAAAAGGCCACTGGAAAAAATGATAACACCTTGACCATCAATAGTCTGTCTTCGTTGACTGGAGGTGGTTTGTTGGATCCAGATGACAGACTGTGTGACGTAGCAGACGATAGAGAACAGATCGTCGCTCACTTTGCCAGCTCCGATGTCAATCACGTAGGTGGAGATGGTGCAAGCTCGGTTGGCACCAACAGTCCTGACTTTTTCCATAGAGATGGCAAGGAGCAAGGTTATCCAATCGATATTCATTCCTCTGTGTCTAGTAGTATTAAGAGAGAAAGTGCCAAGCGTTTGTCAATGCACGCATTGTCAACGAGAGAACCTTCTCTCACAACGTATTCTGCTCAATCTCTACCAAGAGAGTCTCGACGTAGGGAACCTTTAGGTCAAGATTCTAAAGCTTCGTACGAATTTGGCAATAACATCGAATCTGGGAATCAAGAGGTGCGAGAAATAGTGATAAAGAATGAAGCAGGGCCACTGGGGCTCCATGTGGTGCCATGTTACGACTTATTAGGCAATGATCAAGGACTTAGAGTCGAAGGTATCGAACCAAATGGTCGCATCGCCAGAGATGGACAAATTGATTTACACGATAATATTATAAAAATAAATGGTCATAATTTGTTGCATATACCATTTCCAAAGGTCCAAGAAATTTTTAGAACATGCATGAATGATCCCTGCCTACAAATTTCCATTGTTAAACATAAGAAGAAAGCGAGGAACGAAAAATCTTTGCATAAAAACCATGGGAATACCAGTGGCGGATCGGAGAAAACCGAAGGTGATGAGAATATCAAGAGACTTCAATGCAGTAACTATAATCTTTTACAGACTGCGAACACTAGAAAAATTGGACGGATGATAGAAATAGAATTAGTAAAAGGAGGTAACGGTTTAGGATTTAGTGTTACCACACGTGATAATCCTGCTGGAGGACATTGTCCCATATATATTAAGAATATATTACCAAAAGGTGCTGCGGTAGAAGATGGCAGATTGAGATCAGGTGATAGATTGTTAGAAGTAAATAATAAGGAGATGACGGGCAAAAGCCAAGCAGAAGTCGTGTCATTGCTCAGAAGTATTCCTGCTAGTGGTAAAGTAAGGATGGTAGTATCACGTCAAGAGGAAATTTCTTCAAACATTCCAGATTCTCAGGGTATTGCGACATCTGCTCCTCCGACTGCTGAAATAATGGATAATTCAAAATATTGGAGCGCATTAAATAGATCACCAGCAAAAAAGAATGACGTACAAGATAAAGTGAGCACTCACAATTACGAGAAGTGCACATATAAACCAATTAAGTCCTCTGAGGATATTGTTTTATCTCCACGGAAGAATCGTGTGATAATGAACTTAGATATACCAGTACATGATTCCGAAAAGGCTGGTTTAGGTGTTAGTGTTAAAGGCAAAACCAACAGTTCTGATGATAACACTAACATGGATTTAGGTATTTTTATAAAAAGTGTTATCCATGGAGGTGCAGCATCCAGGGACGGTCGTTTGCGGACCAATGATCAATTGCTCAGAGTTAACGGCGTATCTTTGTTGGGATTATCTAATTCTGAAGCAATGGAGACTTTAAGGAGGGCGATGCTTAACACAGACAGCTCAATAACCGGTGTGATTAATCTTATAATAGCTAGGAGGGTATCATCGTATGATACAAATGAGAAAAATACTGTAGATAATTTACAATCTCACCGTAAACCAGAATCTGTTAGTAGCATATACATATCGGATTCTACGAAAATGAATGACGGCATAGTCAAGGAGAAAAACACTTTAAATTCTCAAACCGATGTATTGGATAATGGTGGATTATTATCTTGTGTAACAGCTTCGCCATGGAATCCTGTCATTGATAGACTAACAGAGCAATATAGCAAGAGTAGTTTAAGAAATGAAAGTTATTGTCTTGCTACCAATAAGACATGGATAGAACCTATTAATAATGTAAAGAAAATTATAGGAACGCGCGACGATCGGGTTGAAGCAGTATTGTTAGAAGAATCTAACAACGATAGCTCTCAAGGAAATGACGCCAAACGAAATGCCGAGGATAAAGACAGCCAATATTCCGGAGATCCTACGTACGACAGCCAGTTATCTTTGGAAGAATTAAATTCTTCGTCAAATAAGTTTTCTCGTGATGCTCTTGGCAGACAGAGCATGTCTGAGAAACGGCACGCAGCACTCGACGCTAAAAACACAGATACCTATAAAAGAAACAAAAAATTACGTGAAAACAGAGAAAATAAAAACGCGGATCAAGTCAATCAGAAATCAACTAGCCAAACAAGCAATCACTCAAGCGATTTAGGAGATTACTCGAAAAGAAGCAGCAAGTCGAACAATTTTGAAAAACATTCAAGTAAAGGGGCCTTAGCTGGAAATATAAGTGCCGACAACAACGTGAGACACCATGAAAAGTCTGTTGATGTTGCTCAATCGGAATATATGTATACTATACCCGGATGCAATAATAAGTTTCTTTCGCCAAAAAAACATTGGCTCGTAGACGATGTACATGATGAAGTTACAAGTAGCAATAATATCAAAGACGAGCGAGAAGGTTTTTCGAACAGTCGCGGAGATGTGAAGCAAGCTTCTCTTAATTCAGCATTGGATGACCGATATAAGCGGAAGAAAAACGGTCTTCGATCGATACTTCGATTAAACAGAAATAGGAAATCACTTAATTTTGGGGATAGCATAGAAGCAAGGCACGAAACTAGTAATTACTGTAGCGGCAGGATCAGTTACATCGCATAAATGCAAAGAAAATATGCAAAATAAATTTTCATAAGTAAATAATATATATATATATATATACACATTATCGCGCATCTGCAAATATATACACATTTTGCATATATAAAAATATATATTTTATCTATATATATACGATCTGTTCCAAAGTGCCTTATATCATTAAAAGAAAATAAATAATTCTGTATATATATGATTTTGTACTTGTCTTTAATTGATACGGATCATGTACTTACTACGATATAAACATTATACATGTAATTTATGTGACACCGGAATTAAATAATTAATAGTTCCAAAAGAGGAATTATATTCTCTTGGTAAATCGGTTCAAACTTCCGAAATACATTTTCGTCGTTCTCATCGATTTAACTGTACCTGTAATATCTTAAATTCGTAACAAAACGTTAATTAACATCGAGGATAAATATTGTAAAAAAAGTCAGAAAAAATCATGGTGGTAGGTATAAACTTTTAATTGATCGACTTTCTTTTTTCGTAGTTAATTTTTGATAATAATTTAACGATATTGCTTTATTATGTGTTTCAGCATTTCAGATTACTCCAAACACAATCCTTTATCAGCAGAAGCGTTTTCGAAGCAAAATTAATATACAAAGACCCAGAAAGACGCATTATTTCAGAGCATTGGTAAACAAATTTTTGACGCCTTTTTACCCGATCAAAAATGAAGACAAAAAACCAGAGGAATTATGCTACACAGCAATAAGAACTACGAACAAGAAGAAAGAGATGGAATATAATCCTTACCAAAGAATAATAGCACGTGATGTCCGCAATTGGTTTGACAATTCCAAAATGATTGCCGTTTGCCATCAGAATTCTATGACAACAGAGGATGAGTTTGAACTAGCAGTTCCATTGAAGAAATTAAATATGTACTATAAACGATATAGCAATAAGATTATGAAATTAGCATTGACGGATTCACCTTACATGGCAACAATGCCGTTGTATTCGTCGAAATTCTGCATTATATTTGGTTCTGACATAAATGTCGTTGGCTTTGAAAAAATTATTAGAAAGTTTCCACAAGTTATTCTATTAGGTAAGTAATTTTAAAGAGCATTAAAATAAATGATACTAAATTTATCTATTTTTTTTTATAGCGGGTATACTAGAGGGACAAGTGTTGAATAAGAAGGACTTTTTGAAATACGGTAAAATAGATCTTACATCAGCGCGGGTTCATCTTGTTCAGGTGTTACAAAGTGCAGGCGGTAACAACTTGAATCAGCAGCTCACGCATCATCAGTCCACATTAGTTACTCGATTAAAACAGATCGGTACAGATAAAACAACTTCCGACGAGAACGAAGAATCGGTGCCTGTATAATTGCAAAAAATTGCTTGTATCGATAATTTATTATATAGTAGATTTATCGAAAGCTTTAAGTAAAGTACGATTTATTTCCCT